AATAATATATTTAAAAATAAAATAAATTTATAAATATAATAAGAGTTTAATACGTACGCAATTTTACATCTTCTCCACATAGGCGTGATATGAAAAATACGGCACTATGCAAGCGCAAAGCTTCTTTTATGCATCTTTCTAAATATGATAGTTGATGCAAAAATTTCATAGTTAATTTATTTTCATTCTCTTGCATAACAATATCGACTTCGTTTCTGACACGATCCTGTATTATTAATCATTAAAAATACGTTTCTTATTTAAATGTATTTATATATATGTACGAATTGTACACGTGTGTATGTGTTTTTTGTTTTGTATATCAACATTTATTGATACATAGAAAAGTGAATTGCGTGCACGCACGCACGCATTACACGCACACACACGCGCGCGCGCTCTTAAAAAGTATTTGAAATGTTTAATATTGATACAGTTTTAATAAATAATTCCTGGAATTAGTGAATTAACTAATTTTTTTGTATAGAAGTTACAGCTTATATTTGACGATAAATACCTGAATGTCCTTGTGTTCAGCTAATAATGCTAAAATGAAGCTTAAACTTGACGCTATAGTGTCATGGCCCTATAACCATATTATAAACATTAGTATATTAAATATTGTATTTAAAAATACGACGAGAAATTACAAATGTATACCCCAAACATAATAGCGTCAACTTCCTGTTTAATCTCTAAATCAGTCATGACACCTTCACGATGTGCCGCTATGCGAAGGTCCAACATTGCAAGCTGCTTCCTTTGTGCTAAATCGAAATATATAAGCATGATATTTTTAGATTATCGTTTTAATCGTAAAATATAATTTATAATATTATATTCAATTTAAAGAATATCTTTTGATTATATAACGTACTTCCAGTCAATTTTACATCATCTTCTTCTACTGATATATTATTGTCAAAGTTTTTCAAATATTGACCATTAGTTCGTTCATGATAAAGTTTTCTTTCGGCAATAATCTGTAAATACAACAAATTAATGTTTTTTTCTATGATTTACATAAATGTGTTGTCAACACATTTATCTTGTCATTTATCTTGCAATACTTCTTTATATAAAGTTATTATTATAACTTTCTAAAATAGATAACGTTTAATGCCATATTAAGTAATATTTTAACGTACTCGTTCAGTAAATCCATGCAATATTTTTAGAATCTTCGCTTGTTCTCTGCCTTTTGACGTCAATGAGAATATCCAATCAAATTGCAGCCATTGTCTTGTTGCTCTAATAATTACAATACAATTACAAATAATAGGCATGCTATTTTAAAAAGATCGTTTTTGTAAAAGCTTCCTTTAATTTCTCTGTATACATAAAGATTTCATATAGTTGAAATTAAAAATATTTTAATTTCAACTATATAAAAAAAAATTTAGAACAATAATAAAATTATTCTAAAGACAAATGTAAAATCGTAGATGCACAATAATTCTTTAACTATTTTATCTTACTAAAAAATATATTCGTCTTTATACTGAATTTATTTTTAAATAAACAATTGAAGTGATTATAATTTGTTATGCATAAATTAATAACGTGTTATGTGTAAATTTCTAATTACTAACTATGACGTTTTACATTAAATATTATTTATCTTGATATGATAAAATATTAAGGTATAAATAGAATGTTTAAATAGAATGAAAAATATATTATTTATTATGCCCATAAATTACCTATAAATAAAAAGCTCGCTGATTTGATGAATTGCTTTTCGATACTGTTGCTGGAACTCATCGAGATCTTTTAGAGAAGTGCCCATAGTAGTTTCTGCAAACGTGTTTGTGAAAATATTGTAATAACATTATCGGACACACACACACACACACACACACACACACACACTAATTTTTCGCCGGCGGACGCAGGGTCTCGTGAGATCCGCGAATTTGGAATTATTATAATAATTTTTTTCAAGTATGATGAAAATGAATAAATGGGTATATGTTTCTATGATAAATATGTGTTTTTATTTCACTCTTCTACATATTTGAAGTAATTTACTACTTATCATAATAAAAAAATCATTTTTCAAACGTTTTAAAACTGTCATTCTTTGGTCTCATTTGACTCTGCATCTGCTGTGCATACAAGTTGATACTATATGACTTCCGCTATTTAAGGATTCATTATATCACAATATCGCTACACAAAGACATAATACTGTATCGAGCGATATTTAATTTTTGCAGCCATCGATATCTGTGCATATCGATATTTTGAATTAAAGAAAATTATATTTTATCTTATTCGTTGATGGAGATAAAATTCTGTGTAGTTATGAATTTATATTCATTTATTATAGAGAAAATTTAGTATAAATTTATAATTACCACATATTGCGTTCAGCGTGTATTCACTAATAAATGATGTTAAATCTTTTACAACTGCGCCTTTTGCATT